TAATAATACGAATATTTTATTTTGCTACGCGCAACGTTATAACGATACCTATTATTATTAGGTGGACCGAAAAGTAATGTCGTTTATGCGCATGTCGATATTTGATTGTGATTAAAAATAAAAACATGTTAAAAATTTATTCGTTTGAATTTATTTGAAGAAAGCGACATTACTTTCCGGTCAACCTAATATTAGCTCGTAGCAGAAATTTATCACAATATCGAAGAAATAGCAGGCCACGTAATGCCGATCGATTAGAAAAACGAGTCTTACGGAGAGAATCTAAGTTTTTAAGGTTAAGACGTGTTGTACTTACGCAAACGTAACGTAATATAATATTTAAGTGAACAAATCTTTGAAGAAAAACGCTACGCTATTTATCCGTCGCACCGGTCAACCAATCCCTGGATCCCGAGTGCGAAAAGGTTGCGAGTATTCTTCTCAGACGGTACGTCGAGCGTAGTTTTTCGTCGAAAAATCAATTTCTCCTTTAACGAGAACGTTGACGAGCGAAGGGACTCGTTAAATTGTCTTCGATCACGAATTTAGCTCGAGTCAAGCATTCGAGCTCGGTTATCGCATTCTTTTCGTTATATATCCCAAGTTCGAGGAAGGAAGACGACCGGCGCGTTAATACCAAAGGAAAATTCCGTTCTTATAGAAGCGTAAACGTTTAATGCGTCCGGGGTGTGCTATACTCGGGGCGAACCCGAACGTCGGGGGACTCGTTCAGCTTTCTTTAACCTTTTCGGCAACATCAACGACAACGACGACACGAGCTGTAACGTTCATAAATCATCGGAGCGTCCAAGTTGCTGCGAATAAAAACAATGGCCTTTCAATATCGCAACGTAACGGATTACTCGACAACGAGAAAACTATGAAGCAAGTCTCTAAGTAAACGGGTCGTCGACAGACGAAGCGAATCGCCGATAATAATTATTAGGGTTCTTCTTCTTCTTCTTCTTCCCTTATAGTTATTCTCCTTTGGTATTAAATTAACGAATTTAGTAGCTTCGCTCCGATCTTTGATCTCTCTTTATCTCCGATAATATCTTTCCGATACAGCGAAGCGTCGAGAGAAACGCATTATGTATCGAACGTTAAACTTCGATCCCTGCCGGCGAAGAACATTGGCGCAGAGTAATGCAAGAAAGGTGAGACGTGTAGAGGGTGGTCCATTGTGCGCGCTGCTGTCCTCGCTGGAAACAAAAGTTCGACTCCGCTTCTCGTCTCTCCGAGCAACGATCTATTCTTGCCTCGTCCCTAGCATATCCTTGCGGTCCTTGCTTCCGGGGCTCCGTGCTCTACCTGTGGGGGGGGGGGGGGGACACAAAAAAATAAAAGAAAAAAGAATGCCCTTCGATCGAGAAAATGATCTTTCTTTTATGTTAATTCTCGAATAAAAACGTAAGAGCGCGACGTCTCGTTTCGTCTTTACGGTAGCTTCATTTCCTAGATAGACTCTCGGTGACGGGGAAACGATGACGTACGCAGGCACGTAGTCACTCGGCCCGCCTTTGGACACAATTGGACCGCTGAGAATCTCCGTTTCTTTCGTTCCGTTCGTTTCCCTTTGTTCGCCCTCTTTCTCTTTTCTATTCGCTCCGAACGCTCGCGCGAAATTGGCTACTTTGAAAGCCGCCGAAGGTGTTGCTAAAAGGTCCGTTTATATTTTACGCCCGCCCAACTCTCCTTTTTTCTCTTTTTGCCTTTTTTGCTTCTTCTCCTTTCTCTTTTTTTTTTTCCTTTTCGTTTTTTCGCCCTCCCGACGAGAGAACTAGAACACGTCGAAGCGAACCGAGCGCCATGTTTCGTACGGAACTCGCTCGTCGTTGGCATAAAAAAAAGTTTCTCGGTAAAAAAAAATCCAAAGAGAAAGATAAAATAAAGGAAAAAAAAATAGAGTAATTTTATCGGTCCGTCCGGACAAGCGATGCTTTAATTATTTGCTTATTAAGTCTCACGCTTCGCGCGTAATTTCGGTTCTAATGCCGTACCCATTTTCCGTTATTAATCACGTTTCTGGTGATTCACGAGCTTGTTACGCTTGTTACCGTCATTATTTCGACGGATAATTATCACCGAGGACATTCGGTGAAACGTTCTTCTCTCGTTAACGATAAAAAAAAAAAAAACAACAAAAAAGAAAAAGAAAAAGTGAAAAGAGAGAAAAACGTGCGAGAGAGAGAGAGAGAGAGAGAGACAGGGAGGAGGAAAGACGAAATCCAAGCTCTCGAATCGTCCTCTCCGTCGTTGCCTTCTTGTCCCTCGTAGACGTACGTATCCGCCGTAGCGTTAGGACCACGGGATAAAGCCTCGACAAAGCCTGGCAAGTTGTTAGAGCTTCCGTACGAGACTCCGGGGTCTATCCTCTTGAAAGTCGGTAATTAATCTTGGAACGTCGACTCGGTTTCCGTTTCGTGCGGCGTACTCGTCGTCGTCGTCGTCGTCGTCGTCGTCGTCGTCGTCGTCGTAGTCGTAGTCGTCGTCGTTTTCCTCTTCGGGACTCTTTCGAACGCGACGCGGAGTCAGGCTCTTTTCAAAGTTTATAATCGATCCATGATTTTGTCATTTTCTTCGTCATCCATTGCACTTTTTCGCAAGAACTACGTGCAAATAGCACGAAACATGAAATATCGCTCCAACGTAGTTTCGTATAAAAAAATATTGATCGTAGTGGGCAGCCGGCAAGTTGACGCAAACGCGAGGAGAAAAAACCCTAGATGGAAGAGAGAGGAGAGAATAAAGGGTGCGTGCGGGTTCGCGCAACGGAGAAAGAGGGAGCAAATGCGAGTACGCTCGAAACTTGTCTCCGAGCCAACTTTTTCCACCTTAATTAACTGACCAAACACGGTAGGACGTTTACGACGTTTATGACGTTTATGACGCATCGTAGTACCTATCTCTTATCGGCACACGTTGAATCTCGGCGCCGAAGCTTTACGAGTCAAGCAGAGGAAGAGTAGGGCGTAGGAAGAGAAAGTCGTCGAAAAAGAATCCGCGATAGCAATGGACCGACGCGTAATAGAGGTCGGAAGATTCGGAAAGTTCGCAAAGTTCGGCGCCTTGGAGAATTCAACGATCGCGACATACCCGGAAAATCTCTCGGGTCGCGCTTCCCGTACGCGGAACAATAACAATTCCATTTAGCAAAGTTAGAATCGGGAAAGTCGAGAAGCGTGTAACTCGAACGTAGTTCGTGACGCGTACGATCCATAAGAAAACGACGCGACTGCTTTATCGCAGTTTCGTTGCCTCGCGCGGAACCTCCTACGAAAGCTCCTGCCAAAGCTTCTACGAACTTTCGTCCGCGGAAAGAACTCGCCTAGTCCGAGTGAAACATTTGACCGATAAAAAGAAAGAAAAAAAGAAAGAAAGGAAAAAAGATACGTCGCTGTCCGTTAGCGGTTCGAACGAATTATCCCCAGAGAGAGAGAGAGAGAGAGAGAGAGAGAGAGAGAGAGAAAGAGACGTTACGGGAAGGGCATCAGGATGGGGCCCGCGCGTGTCTTTCTCGCTCAAAGTCCTAACGAAAGTCCTAATACCGGTGTGCTAATACGCGCTTGCAAGCCCGTGGACGATGAGCTACATTAGCGAGAACAGGAGATTCCGTTTTCGAAAATATGCGAGTGCGACAACTTTTAAAATAAAAGTTGCCGAATGCGGGACAAATGCTCGGCCGTTTCGGTTACAAACAAGTAAGCAGGTGGATCGTCGAGTAAAACTTTCATTCGGTGTTCATTCGGTCCGACGATTTCGTGGGGGACGAAAATTTCTCACAGATGTCAGATCTCTTCTTATTATTTTTCTTCTCGTACGGTTGAAAAGCTTTGAAAACTCGAAAAGCCCCGCTAACCAATGGCTCTTACGTGTTATCCGACCGGCAAGAATCGCTTCCAAAGCGATGCATTCGGCTAGCAAACGTCAAAGCAAGGCATTCGCCTGGCGAACAAAGAGTGCCTCCATTTTAATATATACCGCAATTTGAATTATTGTTCCAGCTTTGTTACCTTTCGACCTCGTATAAAAATTTCGCAACAATGATTCTTTCTACATACTTTTTATTCCTACGTTTACGTCCTACGGATGTCAATTATCGTTCCTACGATATAAAGGGCTAAATAAAAAAGAGGAAAAAGAAAATTCGGACGGTACTTTGAATATTCTTTGTGACGTTATTACGTAACGAGGTCAATTGATAACGGTATCGTCGCGTTCCATCGACCGATGCATTCTCTCCGGTCGAAAAAATATCGAGTAAGTAAGTAATTACATCTCTTCGATAAAAAAAATTCGATGCGCACTCGTCTTTCGTTAAATCTTTTTAGCGAAGTTAGTTCCTTTGCCGAGGATTCGCTCTATTGACGGACCGAAGAGAAGAATCAAAGTTTGAAATCTCGCTCGCTACTTTGTATCGCTTTTTCGCGATAGTAGGTGCGAAAATGTATCCTTCCTACGAGTATTTTCTTTTTTTTTTTTCCCCTTTTTAACGATACTCCGACGATATTCGACGATGATAAGGGCATTTGTAGAGCAGAAATCGTCGATCGTCAAAGCAAAAATTCGTAGCTAGGTGAAATAAATTCGATCTCGTAAATAATTATCTCCCGGCCTAAGAATCAACGAATACGACGATTTAACGTTTCTAAATAACAGCTACGCTCGATCGTTCAGGCAAAGTACCGTCCGTGCACGTGCGAGCGAAGGAGTAATTAAACTTTTTGGTAGAAATTAATATACATCGTACACGGCAGAAGCACGATCATCATCGCATTTCCCTTTAACGTAAAGCCTCGCCCGGCCTAATCAGTATTCAGTTTAAGCGGCGTACCAGCCCATTTACGATCTACCTAAAGCTATCCTATTATTGGCGCTGAGATAATAACTATACGAAAATCCAGCTCCCAGTCTCTCTCTCTCTCTCTCTCTCTCTCTCTCTCTCTCTCTCTCTCTCTCTCTCTCTCTAGAGTGTTTCCTTCGCACGATCCAACGGAAACTTATTTCTCGCACGAGTGAAATTCATCGGGCGAACGTTATTCGACGAATGGTTGGAGTCAACCCATTTACGAGCTCGTCGATCGTCTCGCGTCTTAATTTCGACTAATGGTCCTCGAAGAAGGATCGTTAAAACGAATGGCTCGCGATTGCCGTTGCTCACGTCGACGCTTCGAAAAAAAGAAAAGGATCGGAAGGAGTAAGTAAAACGGAATGTCCGTAAAACGGCATTTGGCGAGGAAGAACGATCGTGGAAGAGAACGAGATTGCGCGCGCCTTGTATTTCTGGCAAAGTTTACCTAATCATCGGTAAATGGTTTATCCGCTCTCTCGTCCACACTATCCATCCGTTCGTCTCGCCTATCCTTTCCCTAATGTTATCCCAACTAGGACGTCGAGTGGAACAAGCTGGGATAGGGAATTTATTTCCCATGTGCGCTGCAAGGGTTGGAGTTAATCGTACCGTAGAATCGGAGACCTCTCGTCCAAGTAAATATCCAATTCTGCGGCCAATTGCCCGCCGTCGTTCGCCGACTGACTGGTCTAACCGAGGTGCATTCCACGCTTGTAACGGTGCGCACTTCTTCTTCGTTAATAAAGGATATTAGGCGCAACCCGGACAATGGCCTAAGCTAACAAACTTTTTGCCCACGAATAAGTTTGCTCAAACTTACGGGTACTTTTTCGTCGAGCGGGGATATTATCGAAAGAAGCCCGAAGAGCGTATTTGCGGGTTCGACTCTTAAGAGTCAGAGCGTACTTTTGAAAAAGGAACCGAAGAAACTTTCTAACGACTTTCTTTCCTCGTAGCACCGGGGACGGCAGGGGGCGCCGAGGGAGGAGGTGGACGGGCTAGCTATCAGAAATTGTCGCGGGCAATCGTCCTTTTCGGGCCAAGCTCGTTCGCCGCGAGCTAAAGGTAACCAAGTAGAAATACTTGCTCGCGACTCCTTTCCTTCGCGGACGATACACCTCTAAATCCGATTGTCGCTACCATACGGAGGGAAAGAGGACGGAATAAAAAGTAAGGAGAAACGGAAGTATAGAAAAAGAGCCGGCTGCAAAGTCTCGGGGAAGACCGAACATAAGATTGGGAAGCTTCGAAACGCGACGAAGAGTAAGAAGTTACGAAAGGCGTTACTTTGCCAACTCGTCGTCCGTATCCATGAAAAAGGAACGTCGACGTGAACGCGAAAGGGAAGAAAAGCCAGCGTTTCTCAAATAAAGAAAAATAAGGAGAGAAAGAAAATGCTGCGATCGTTTGCGGTGACCTAAAAAAGCTCGAAACTAATTTATAGTGCCACTTAAATATCTCTACTCGAGGTGGATTGTGTCTCGCGTGTGTGACGGGGGGGGGGAGGGAGAGAGAGAGAGAGAGAGAGAGAGAGCAAATGCGAAGGTAGTAGTCGACGAGAATAGAAGAAAAGTTAAGGACAGAAGAGGAAAATCGACTTGACGGAAGTTTAAGTTCTTTTGTAAACGGGGCGCCCTTTAGCCCTCATCCGCCACCACCCTTTATCACTTTCTCCTCTATCTCTCCTTTTTCTTAACGAGCAAATGGCTTTTGAAACGGAGGGAAGAAAAGAGGAGAGATGGGAAAAGCGAGAAAGGTACGCCCAACCGGAATGGTGGTGGGCTCCAACTACCGACAAGAGTGTAGCAACGCAGGAGCCATTCAACTAATCGTTTTCTTCCTCCTCCGCTTTCCTCCGAAAAACTTTCCATCCTCGAGTTTGACTCTCTCTCTCTCTCTCTCTCTCTCTCTCTCTCTCTACCGAATACCTAGCCGTTCTCTCGACAATGTCGGTGAGTCGCACGACTCCTACCATAGTTGCCTTTTAATTACAAGACATCGGCTATAGGATGCATTTGAGAAAAATGTCGGAGAAATAACAAAGACGAAGACGAGGACGATATGGAAAATGAGAAAATAAATCGTCTCTCGTTTAGAAAGAGGAGGCGCTCTCGCTCGACGTTTTACTGCCCTTTATAACGGCGTGCTTTAAAGTGTCTCAGCTGCCTCTAACGATTTTCAAAGGTATTCTCGAACGTTGGAGACGAAGCGGTGTTGTTCCTTTCCCTCTCCTGTCTCTCGCTCGCTCGAACGACAAAGCTGTCGTGGCAATTATCTCCAAACGCGTGCAATTACTTTGAGGCCAAAAGCAAACTCTCCGGTCTAGCACATTTACTCTCTCTCTCTCTCTCTCTCTCTCTCTCTCTCTCTCTCCCTCCATCGGAAGATTCGACGACCTTCCTTTCTAGACCATCTCGAGATCGTTGCCGTACGAGGTTAATTAATTACGCCCTGCGAAGCTACAAAAGACGCGGACAATAGGCGGCAACGTGACTTGCCTGTTTTCGATACAATGTTCTTACCTACGAGTGAACGCAAATGCATTGTTAGCGATTTCAGGATGCACTACAGTATCGAGTTTTATCGTAAAAAGAATTCTTATGAATCGAATGAAGAAAAAGGAATTGTATAACAGAGAGAAAAAGTCGAAAGCGTAGATACCTAAAACTTTAAACATACATATTAAGGTTCCCATGGCGTCTAGCATGGACGCTTTCGTTGTCAGCCTCATAGAATGAATTTAGTGGTTGAACTTTTACCAAAAGAATACAAAGGCGATTCATCGAGTGTTTTAATCCACGTAGCACGTTCGAAATTTCATTCAAACCACCGGACGGATCGTAATGAAATTTTCACTAGAGACTGTTTCCTGAATACAAATATGGAGGAAAGTTCAACTTCTTCTCGAGTCCTTCGACTTGTAAGGTGGTTCTCCTTGTTACCACCGTCCGCACACGTACAGGATGATAATTATAAAGGACCAAAGGAAAAAATGGTAAATAAGTAAAATTGAACGATGATAAGGAAGGTTGGAGAAGAAGAAATTCGGGTAGATTTTTTCCCTCTTTTTTTTTTATTTCTCCTGGGTCGCGCATGCTTCTCGATAGACGACGCATTCTCTTTCTCGGTTATTAAATTGAGCCGAGGTCGTAACATCCGCACTCACGAACAATGATCACGAATAAATTATGTCGTCCCGGAAGGGGACCCGAAATGTAGATAAATTTTCAGAGCATATTAATACTTTCCGCACAATCGGAAGCTCGTCTTGCGGCAGAGCTCGCAAAATAGAGTTCCGCTGATAGATTGCCACTCCGGGTGTGAAAATTGCCTTGAAATTGAAGCGTCCACTTTGTAAGAAGAAGAATCGTGGATACGTGGAACGTAATCTCTCCTCTCCTTTCTATCTTCGTTTCTCTTAACGACGTAAGAACACGTTGCACCGAATTTCAATGCGTACGCGATAGGGGAAATATTATTATCGATTTTGGTTTCTCTTTAACGAGAAGCAATAAAAAATTACTAAGATTTCTATGATTTAGAAAGGGTCAAGGAGAGAGAGGAAGGAAGCTTCGTAAGGGCTAATAAAAACTGGATAGTTTTTATTAGCGGTGCTCACCGGCGAAGGATCAAAAGGAGTGACTTTGGAAGAAAGGAGAAGCGCCAACGTGGGGAAGAGAAAAGAAGAGGGGTTATCGCGGTGACCCGTGGCCGAGGGAATGGCTCGCGTGCGGATCATCGATTTTCAGCACCTCCGGTGCTGGCGGCGTTTGACGGACCGAGAGAAGGGGGCCAAAGGGGTCGGACGAAGGAACAAGGGCCTCCCGGGTGTATGGGGAGGCTCTGGCTCTCTTTCGCAAATTCTATCGGCCGCCTGCCGATAGGGAGCACGCCGGGGCATCGAGCGAGTTTTCGTCGTTACGATCGCGACTTTGACGCACGCGCGACGCCTCGATAAATTAATAGGAAGGATATCTTGGTCCTCTGTGCCAAAGTTATAGCGCTGTTAACGATACCGTTATTAACGTAGGTCATAGATGGAAACGTTCGCTCGTTCGAGTACACTCGATTCATCGGACACTGATTTCCTGCAATTGCGTAGCCGTCGTTAAACCGATCATTCATCGACGCATATCCAGGCGCAGGACCCTGATCCGTCCGTCGTATTCCAATGTATTTTATCGATCAAATCGTTTCTCGCTTAACAATTGTTACGGAAAGTCTTTAACGCGGGCGCGACCGAAAAACAAGCGTTACCCGGATACTTTCAATTCCGCGAGACGGTGATTTAGGAAATATGAGAGTAAGTTTGCGCGCCCTCGGCTTCCCTGGAGCGAGGCCAAAGTCAAAAAGCACTCGGTCCGCCCGAGGCGATACATATTTTTCACGGCCGTCTCTCGCGCATAAGCGCGAGTATATCTATCGCGTATACTTATCCACGTTGTACACATACTTACGTAACTACGGGGAAGGAGAATAGAGACAGAAAGAGGATGAAGATGGGTCAAACGTACGGAAAAGGAGAAACGGAATGTGTTATAGCTTCTTGCGCCTTACAAAATTTTCTTTTAGTTTTTCGATACCTGCTGTGGGAAGTTCTCCTTTTCCTTTCAAAAAAAAAAAAAAAAAGGTGAATCGCGCGAGTTCTCTCTAACTGATCTTACGAATCGAAATTCCGAAAAAAAACGAGGAAAACGTTAGAATGTAAGAATGATAAAGATAGGGGAATCCAATCTGGATCTTCGACGCTTTTCATTTGTTTCCATACGAAACCTACCATTTTCGATCGAACGAAGGCGACGCAATCGCTCCTAATCGCTAAGAAAGAGCAGTCCTTCTTAGCGGAAGAAAGGGAACGGAGACTTTAAAGTACTTTGCTCGAGAAAAATACTTATTATCCAAGAGAAACATCTCGAAGAAACTTTGTGTCCCTTTCAAGTCAATTCAATATTATAAGGGCGTTTATCCAAGAAATCATATCACCGATCAACGATCCATTGTAACACGTACGTTATAGGTTCGGAAGATGGAAAAAGAAAAAAGAAAAGAACGTTTAAGAAACGCGCTAAAGTATATCTTTTCCGGTAGTACTTGCGTTACATCATTTATAATATCGATAGATCGCAAGTAATACCGACCCACGCGGAGGTTAGC